GGTGAGGGGTCTGGAGCACAAGGAGAAGGGTCTGGAGAACTTCTGAGGGAGCTGGGGGTGTTGAGCCTGGAGAAAAGGAGGCTGAGGGGAGACCTTCTGGCTCTCTCCAACTCCCTGAAAGGAGGGTGTAGCCAGGGGGGGTCGGTCTCTTCTCCCAAGGAACAGGCCATGGGACAAGAGGAAACGGCCTCGAGTTGCCCCAGGGGAGGTTGAGGATGGAGCTTGGGAGCAATTTCCTCCTGGAAAGGGTTGTGAAGCCTTGGCAGAGGCTGCCCAGGGCAGTGGTGGAGTCACCATCCCCGGAGGGTCTTCAAAGCTGGGCAGAGGTGGTGCTGAGGGACATGGGTCAGTGGTGGGTTTGTCAGTGGTGGGTTGATGGTTGGACTCCACGATCTGAAAGGTCCCTTCCAACCTCCACCATTTCATGATTCTAAGAGTGAGGGAAGATGGATGGAGGTACCAAGGAAATGACAAGTCCTTGTGTGTTACCGTGTGACTCATTTGATACCCAACCTTCACCCCTGGGCTTCAAGGTTGTGGATTGAAGTCCTACACTGGGATTTGGGATCGTTTCTCTTAAAATGAGGAAGATGCATGGATCTTAAAATAGATCACAGCCTGTCAGCTAACACTGGAGTAGATGGACCTCTCGGGTGTTGATGGCCATGAGGTCCAAGAAGGGTGGGTTGACCGTATCAGAACCTCTTCTTATCAGGGCTTGAGTGATCAGAAAGACCTGGGTTGCTGGTGGAGGCACTGGAAGCCCTGATGAAAGAATCACAGTAAATCCACTGCTGGGACAGGGTAATCAAAGGCTTAATTGAGGCACGTTGCGTTAATGATAGCTTCTCTTCAGTCGATGTCCATCTCTAGGAGCATTAAGGACATCAACACAGACCTCATAGGGGTATAGGGCACTACCTGCCCCACCACACTCCATCCTGCATCTCCTGCTCTTCTTAGTGATCTCCAAGATCTCTGAGGTAGTTCTCTCGCTGCCTGGGCTGACCTGGGCACCAAGTGCTGGAGATGCAGGATGCCTCCAGAGGAATCCAGCACTGGGTCTTCCAGAAGAACTTTCCCAGATGAGTGACCTCTGCTAGAACTTTCCCAGGTAGAAAGCTGGGCTGTGGCACCTCTACTTCTGCTGATCCACGGTGCATAGAATCACAGAACCAAGGAATGGTTTGGGTGGGAAGGGACCTTCAAGCCCATCCAGATCCATCCAGGGACACCTCCCACCAGCCCAGGTTGCCCCAAGCCCCCTCCAACCTGCCCTTGACCCCCTCCAGGGATGGGGCAGCCACAGCTTCTCGGGGCAACCTGGGCCAGGCTCTCACCACCCTCCCACCAAACAAGTTCTTCCCCACATCTCAGCTCCATCTCCCCTCTTTCAGGGTCAAACCCTTCCCCCTCCTCCCATGGCTCCCCTCCCTCATCAGGAGTCCCTCCCCATCTCTCCTGGAGCCCCCCCACCACTGAGGGACTGGAAGGAGCTCCAAGGTCTCCCCGGAGCCTTCTCTTCTCCAGGCTCCAATGTCTCCCTGGAGCCATCTCTTCTCCAGGCTCCCTGGAGCCTGGAGATTGGAATTTCTTGGAATTTCTTTCCAACCTCCTGCCTGACACCTCCCCCTGGGTGCTCCTCAGCTCCTGAGCTGGGATGGACATGGAGCTCCATGGTTCATGGTTGTGGGGTAGCTCCTGAGCTGGGATGGACACGGAGCTCCATCATTCCTGGTTGTGGGGCGGCCACTTCCACACTGGCCAACTGCCTCCAAACTGGCCACTGTGTCTCCTCCAAACCCTGAGCTGCTCATAAAATCATGGAATCATGGGATGGTTTAAGTGGGAAGGGACCTTCAAGCCCATCCAGTTCCATCCGGGGACACCTCCCACCAGCCCAGGTTGCTCCAAGCCCCCTCCAACCTGCCCTTGAACCCCTCCAGGGATGGGGCAGCCACAGTTTCCCGGGGCAACCTGGGCCAGGCTCTCACCACCCTCCCACCAAACAAGTTCTTCCCGTTTCATCTCAAATATTTTTGAACAAATTGTTAAAATACAGATATTCATGAGCTCCGTGTGCTCCCACGGGAGATGGTGAAGGGTCTCCTGATGGTGAAGGGTCTCCTGGTGCTTTGCTCACTGGAGGTGACCCTCCACGTGGTGAAGAGCGACCCAGTGCCGGTGAGGAACTGGCCTCTTCTACCATATTCAAAGAATAAAATAACCACCTTTTCTTCCCTTAATGCATTTATGGGGTAAATGGGAGAGGAGCTTGAGTCAAATCCCAAATGGGACTTGACAAGACAGAGCCTGGAGAGACGTGTCAGTCAGGCCTGGTCCCTGTCACCCCCCTCAGCCCCGTCACCGGCGATGAATGCTAACTAACCAGTTACTGTCTAGTTGTCATGGAAAGCTGGAACCCTGGGGGGGAAAAAAAAAATATATAAATATAAAGAATTCACTTAAAACCTTTGAGCTGCTTTCAGAAGCGGCCAGAAATCTAATTCTTGCCCTGATGAGGGTTTGGGTTCGAGAGCAGAGGTGGAGAACGTCCACGAAGCCACCAATACAAACTAGGGGGTGAGGGATTGGAAAGCAGCCCTGAGGAAAGGGACTTGGGGGTGCTGGTGGAGGAGAAGCTGGACATGAGCAGGTCCAGAGAACTTGCAGCCCAGAAGGTCAATCCCATCCTGGGCCGCATCAAAAGAAGCGTTGCCAGCAGGTCCAGAGAGGGGATTCTGCCACTTTACTCTGCTCTGGTGAGACCTCACCTGGAGTATTGTGTGCAGGTCTGGAGCCCTCAGTATAAGAAGGACATGGACCTGATGGAGAGGGTCCAGAGGAGGGCCACAAGGATGATCAGGGGGATGGAGCACCTCTGCTCCGAGGACAGGCTGAGGGAGCTGGGGTTGTTCAGCCTGGAGAAGAGGAGGCTCCGGGGAGACCTTGGAGCCCCTTCCAGTACCTGAAGGGGACCTACAGGAAGGCTAATGGCTTCAAGCTGGAGGGGAACAGATTTAGACTGGAGATGAGGAGAGGGTTCTTCACTGTGAGGGTGGTGGAGCACTGGAACAGGTTGCCCAGGGAGGTGGTTGAGGCCCCTTCCCTGGAGATATTCAAGGAGAGGCTCGACGAGGCCCTGGGCAACCTGGTCTAGTTGGGGGTGTCCCTGCTGACTGCGGGGGGGTGGGACTGGATGGCCTTTGGAGGTCCCTTCCGGCCTGGGCAATTCTATGATTCTATGATTCTATGATTTCATAGGGATGGTCTGGTTCTCAGAGACGGAGATTTGACTGGATTTCACTCAGCAGCCAAATGGTTTTCTTCCAGAACCCCATTTCATTAAGTGTCGTTGAGGTTTAGTCTTGAAGCGAAGGGCAACGGAGCTGGTGAGGGGTCTGGAGCACGAGGAGAAGGGTCTGGAGAACTTCTGAGGGAGCTGGGGGTGTTGAGCCTGGAGAAGAGGAGGCTGAGGGGAGACCTTCTGGCTCTCTCCAACTCCCTGAAAGGAGGGTGTAGCCAGGGGGGGTCGGTCTCTTCTCCCAAGGATTAAGAGGAAACAGCCTCAAGTTGCCCCAGGGGAGGTTGAGGATGGAGCTTGGGAAGAATTTCCTCCTGGAAAGGGTTGTGAAGCCTTGGCAGAGGCTGCCCAGGGCAGTGGTGGAGTCTCCATCCCTGGAGGGATTTGGGAGCCGGGCAGACGTGGTGCTGAGGGACATGGGTCAGTGGTGGGTTTGTGAGTGGTGGGTTGATGGTTGGACTCCATGGTCTAGAAGGTCCCTTCCAACCTCCACCATTCCATGATTCTATAAGATGCTGAGGTTGGGGCTTCATCTGGTGAGGCAAGGAGAGACCAGCCGTGTCTCCCAGCCAATGTGGGTGCAGGAGATACCTTTTCTGGGGGGTTTCCATGAGCTGCATCGATGCAGAGGGGCTGCTGGAGTCAATGCTGAAACCTCGGAGTGGAGAGGGCCCTTCCAGCCCCTGCTGCACATCTCGGTGGGGTGGAGGAGGAGGCTGTGGAGATGGCATCCCAAAAGGAGGAGTAACCACACTGATTTGTTTGGCTTCCCTTAACGTGAAGAGCATTGCCAGAATCTTCCTTTTTGCAGGAGTAGGGACAACCTTGGAGCCAAGCTCTACCTCCAACTGGAGCTGGGGACGGTTTCCACCACTGATCCAGACTTAGAACGTTATGGGGACGTCAGGGACAACCTTGGAGCCAAGCTCTACCTCCTACTGGAGCTGGGGATGGTTTCCACCACTGATGCAGACTTAGAACGTTATGGGGATGTCATCATGGATGATGTCAGGATGGTTTGGGTGGGAAGGGACCTTAAAACCCATCCAGTTCCATCCAGGGACACCTCCCACCAGACCAGGTTGCTCCAAGCCCCCTCCAACTTGGCCTTGAACCCCTCCAGGGATGGGGCAGCAACAACTTCTCGGGGCAACCTGGGCCAGGCTCTCACCACCCTCCCACCAAACAAGTTCTTCCCCAAATCTCAGCTCCATCTCCCCTCTTTCAGGGTCAAACCCTTCCCCCTCCTCCCATGGCTCCCCTCCCTGGTGGGCTGGGAGCATGGATGAGGAGGTCCTCATGTCCAGGTCTTCTTGGTGGGACCCTTCCCCCTCCTCCCATGGCTCCCCTCCCCGGTGGGCTGGGAGCAGGACTCATGCTCTATGGATGAGGAGGTCCTTATCTCCAGGTCTTCTTGGTGGGGCCATCCCTGCAGTGTCACCCCAAGTGCCACCCACATCTCATTGGGTTTCAAAATCTGGTCACCCCAAGTGCCACCCACATCTCATTGGTTTCAACATCTGGTTTGGTTGTATTTTGTTGAAATGTTCCATCACAGTTGTTGGTTTAACTTTCCTTCCCTCGCTGGGAATGTTGGAGGAGGAGGAGGGTTTTTCCGAGTCCCTCCTCATCCTCTGAAGGTCTTGGGTCACTCCCCTTCTCCCCCTACCCTGATTTTTGGTCTCTTTTCCTGCAGTGTGGTGAAGATCCTCCTCGCAGCTAACGCCGATCCCAACCTGGGCGACGATTTCAGCAACGTCTACGAGACCGCCAAGGAGAAAGGCCTCCACTCTTTGGAAGGTAATCTCGTTGGCGTGCTGGCACCTACATTGGCTTTTCAGGTCCCAAAAATTTGGTTTCCTGGCGTTGAAATGGGAATTTGACCTCGGTTATGGGGTGGTTTGGGTTTTTTTTTTTGGAGCCACCTTCAGCTTTCATTGAAATGCTGAGTAATTGGGTGAGTGTGTGTCTGAACAGGAGAGAAAATGTTCTGTAGATGTTGATGAGGAATGGTCATAGAATCGTAGAATCATGGAATGGTGGAGGCTGGAAGGGACCTTCCAGACCGTGGAGTCCAACCATCAACCCAACACTGACAAACCCACCACTGACCCATGTCCCTCAGCACCACCTCTGCCCGGCTCCCAAATCCCTCCAGGGATGGAGACTCCACCACTGCCCTGGGCAGCCTCTGCCAAGGCTTCACAGCCCTTTCCAGGAGGAAATTCTTCCCAATTTTCATCCTCAACCTCCCCTGGGGCAACTTGAGGCCATTTCCTCTTGGTCATCGTTCCTTGGGAGAAGAGACCAACCCCCTATGGCTACCCCCTCCTTTCAGGGAGTTGGAGAGAGCCAGAAGGTCTCCCCTCAGCCTCCTTTTCTCCAGGCTCAACACCCCCAGCTCCCTCAGAAGTTCTCCAGACCCTTCTCCTTGTGCTCCAGACCCCTCCCCAGCTCCGTTGCCCTTCTCTGGACACGCTCCAACCCCTGAAGATCTTTCCAGTCGTGAGGACCAGTTGTCCTGGAGAACCCAAACCCCCTGATGACATTATCCATGGCTCCTAAGAGCCCAAATCTTTATAAAGCCCAAGGAAGGTGCGATATTTGAACCTTTCCTAAACCCCAGGTGGAGTTGAGAAGATGAATCATGCGTGGACGGGGGTGACAGGGGCATTATTTATATTTTTAAAAGCTCTTGTCCCTCTCCATCCCCTTCAGCCCCTGCCCTGGACCCACTCCTGGGTGGGAGCAAGATCCCACCCCCATCCATCAGAGCGCGTGAGCCTCCGATGCAAAATACATGAAAAAAAATAATAATAATCCACAAAAACATTAAAAAATGAGCCCGTGAGTGTCAACCCCTAACGCACGAGCACAGACTTTATTTAAGACAAAGTGGTATCAACCCCGTAAAGTTAATTGTTTTTGTCTGCCTTCGTCCCTCTGCATATTTTTTTTGGGGGGGGAAGAGCGAGGAGAAGATAAAGCCACTCCGTAAGAAGTTGCATTAATTCTTTGCTTGACGCCTTTTATTAAAAAGAATAAATTCAGTCGTGGGGTTTTTTTAAACAAAAAAAAAAAGGCAATGGAGTGTCAACCCCTAACGCACGAGCACAGACTTTATTTAAGACAAAGTGGTATCAACCCCGTAAAGTTAATTGTTTTTGTCTGCCTTCGTCCCTCTGCATATTTTTTTTGGGGGGGGAAGAGCGAGGAGAAGATAAAGCCACTCCGTAAGAAGTTGCATTAATTCTTTGCTTGACGCCTTTTATTAAAAAGAATAAATTCAGTCGTGGGGTTTTTTTAAACAAAAAAAAAAAGGAGCGAGGGAGAAAACTGCCTTTGTTTTTCGTTGGGCCTCCAACCCAGCAAGACTTTTTTTTTTTTTTTTTTTTTCTTCTTTTTTTTTTTTTTTTTTTTTTTTTTTTTTTTTTTTGGTGTGTGTTATTTCATCAAAAACATCCGACCGGGGAGCGGCCTCCGCTCGAGCGAACGTGGCCCCGCGCGCAAAATATATTACAGACATTTATATGGATGGCAGGAAGGGAGACAGAAGGGCCTGAAAATTTCCAGGCACCCCGGTGATGGATGGAGGACGAGGCTTCCCCTGACGCTTTATTGAGTTTCCGATGATTATCTCTCTCCCAGACATTTTTTACGGATGACGGCCGAGCTGTCACGGCAGACCGTGGGGGGAGAGAAAAAAAAAAAAAAAAAAAAAAAACCAAAAAAAAAAACACAAAACCACCCTCAACAATAATAACACTTTAATCTCTTTACCGCGCTGCTCCCTAGTATCTCAGATTCATCTTCCCTGACGCACGCAGTTCATTATCCTGCTCCTCCCTGGGTAGGAAATGACGACAAATAAATAAATATACATAGTCCTGCGTTTGGAGAAAAGAACCCCGGGGAAAGGGGAAGGAGCCCAGGGGGGTTAATTGATCTTCCCCGGAGGTGCTGGGGTTCGTTAGAGGTATTCGTTAAAGCGGTTGCGTCTTCTCAACTTCTCAAGCTGTGGGAGGCTCTTAGAGGGAAGGAGGAGACCACGTTGGGGGTTCTCTTGGTTGATGGGACAAGGTGTTGGGGTGCTCCGAGGCCTTCGAGTCCCTGAAGGTGGAGGTGATGAGTTTTGGTTATAATCCCACCTCGGGACAAGAGGAAACGGCCTCAAGTTGCCCCCCAGGAGGTTGAGGATGGAGTTTGGGAAGAATTTCCTCCTGGAAAGGGTTGGGAAGCCTTGGAAGGGGTTGCCCTGGGCAGTGGTGGAGTCACCAGCCCTAGAGGGACTTCAAAACCGGGCAGAGGTGGTGCTGAGGGACATGAGTCAGTGGTGGGTTTGTCGGTGTTGGGTTGATGGTTGGACTCCATGGTCTGGAAGGTCCCTTCCAACCTCCACCATTCCATGATTTCAAGGGCAGGATTTGCTCCACAGGTTGGGCAACTTTCATTCAAGAGGAGATATCACGTTCCAGACCCCCTCATCCCTCAGGCTACATGATGGGTTGTGTGTTTGGGGGCCTTCCTCATCCCCCCAAGCTGAGGAGATGGGCTGTGGCCGGGCCTGGCACTAGTTAGTGAGAGGTGGGTAATTCTCCATCAGCTCTGGAACAGCCATGAAATTCTCCTGTTCCTCAAAAATCAGATAGAAAATGTGGTTCCTGTCAAATCCCACATCTCTGAGTGATAGAGTCAAGGAATAACAGGATGGTTTGGGTGGGAAGGGACCTTAAAGCCCACCCAGTTCCATCCAGGGACACCTCCCACCAGAGCAAATTGCTCCAAGCCCCCTCCAACCTGGCCTTGAACCCCTCCAGGGATGGGGCAGCCACAGCTTCTCGGGGCAACCTGGGCCAGGCTCTCACCACCCTCCCACCAAACAAGTTCTTCCCCACATCTCACCTCAATCTTCCTTCTTTTCCCTTAAAACCCTTCCCCCTCCTCCTAGGGCTCCCCTCCCTCATCCAGAGTCCCTCCCCAGCTTTCCTGGAGCCCCTTGAGGGACTGGAAGGGGCTCCAAGGTCTCCCCGGAGCCTTCTCTTCTCCAGGCTGAACCCCCCCAACTCTCTCAGCCCCCCCTCCCAGCAGAGGGGCTCCAGCCCTCCCAGCATCTCCATGGCCTCCTCTGGCCCCTCTCCAACAGCTCCATGCCCTTATGACAGCATCTCCTTGACGTCTTTGGTGGCTGTGATTGTCCATCTGGCCTGGCTTTAGACCAGGATTCTGATCTCAGGACTGGTTTTGTGAAGATGCTTTTATCTCTGCTCCCCTAAATCTCCCCCCCTGGCCCATCAGCACCTGCTTTTGTTATTTCCTTCAATACCTAAAAAGAGCCGCTGGTTTTTCCACTCTTCCACTCGCCGATGACTTGAGTGAAGGGCTCAAACCCCAACATTTCCTCAGCAGAGAGATGCTCCAGGCCCCTCATCATCCTCGCAGCCTCCGCTGTCCCCTCTCCAGCAGTTCCCTTTCCTTCTGGAACTGGGGAGCCCAGAACTGGTCCCAGTGCTCCAGCTGGGGCCTCCCCAGGGCAGGGCAGAGGGGCAGGATGACCTCCCTTGAGGTTCTCCATGTTCTTCTTGATGCCCCCCAGGAGAAACGCTCTTCTTGATGCCCCCCAAGAGACCATTGACCATGTTGGCCACCAGGGCACAGTGGTGGCTCCTGGGCAACTTGTTGCCCACCAGGACTCCCAGGTCTTTTTCCACCGAGCTGGTTGCCCTCTGTACATCACTTTAATTTCATGTATTCCCTGTTCTTCCAGGTTTTTTTGTGGTCCAACCTCTGATTTTGCACCAGATCTGGAGGATTGGGTGTTTGGGTGTGTCTGTCTCACCCCACCATCCTTCTCCTCTCCTCCTGGGAGTCCCTTGGCCCACCGTTGCTCAGCCCCACAACCACAAGTGGTGGGGTTTGCCCTTTCTTCGGGTGTCCCTGCATGTTGGCCTTCAGTATCAGCACTCAAGGGAAGGGAAAAACGCCTAATTAATCAGCTTGAGAAAATTATAATTAATCAGCCTTGGTTTCTTTTCAAAGAAACGTCACAATTTCTGGGTCTGGTGTCACCAAACCTTGTTGCTCAGGGGATTCCAGGTTTTCTCCTGAGTGGGTGAAATGGGTTATTATGAATTATTTCCATCCTGGTGGGGCTGAGGAATAACCCTCCTGGAGCACATGGTACCTGTGGGTGGGGAAACATGAGATAAAAACTCAAAATTCCCCAAAAGAGTTGGTTTCAAGAGCAGCCCAAGGGTGGTGAGGAGGTAGACATGGAGACATGGAGGTAGACAACCTCGTGCTCGGAGCTCGTTGACCCCAATGACTTTTCAGGGCACAAATGAAAAGTGGTTTTAGACGAGTTCCTGCTTTAAATGGCAACTTCTTGAATGGTTTGGGGAAGCGGAGGAGGCAGCTCCTGGAGGAGTGGGTGTCAAGGAGGATGGGGCCAGACTCTTCTCAGTGGTGGCCGGGGACAGGACAAGGGGCAACGGGCACAAACTGGGATGGAGAAAATAAGGAAAACCTTCTTGGAAGAGGCTCCTTAGAGAAGATGTGGAGTCTCCTCCTCTGGAGATGCTCAAACACCATCTCCAACCTGCTCTGGGTGACCCTGCTCTGGCCGGGGGTGGGACTGGGGGGGTCTGCAGAGGTCCCTGCCAACTCCAGATCCTTCTGTGAGTCTGTGAAATGGGCACAATGAGAGCGGTGTGATGCGGGAAGCTTGGTGTGACTCCCAGGAGATCCATGGACGTTCCCAGCTGGCTCTGGTCCTCAGGACCCACTGTGCTGGTGTCCCTTCAGCCTCCCTGGTTCTTCTCTCTTGGTTGGGGCTTCGGGGCAGGCTCCTGGGGTCGTGTTGTGGCTGGAGGAGGAAGATGGTGGGGAGGAAGCATTGAATGGTTGTTCTCTGGCCCTTCTGGACAGGAAAAGAGGGGGAAAAAAGGCATAAATCATAGAATCATGGAATCACAGGATGGTTTGGGTGCAAAGGGACCTTCAAGACCATCCAGGGACACCTCCCACCAGAGCAGGTTGCTCCAAGCCCCCTCCAACCTGCCCTTGAACCCCTCCAGGGATGGGGCAGCCACAGCTTCTCGGGGCACAGAAGTCTCTGTATGGCTTCCTTGTGTTGAACCCTTTGAAGGCGAAGAGGGTTGGAACAAGGCTGAGAGGTCTTCTCTTGGGCTTCCTCCAACCTCCTCCTCCTCCCCTGCCTGAGGAAAGGCAGTGACTGGGGTTTGTGGAAACCATGTTGTCTTCATCTCCCCTGCAGCTCAGTGGGGTGGAGACGACAGCCACCAGAAACCCCCACCGGGGTCCTGATGATCTCCTAGAAAAGGCCACCAGGCTTTTAAGAAGCTTCCAAGAGTTCTTTACTTTGTTCCAATGAGCTTAGTTTTCCTTCTTCTTCCCCCTCTTCCAGTCCTGGTGACCAGGGAGGACGACTTCAACAACCGCTTGAACATCCGAGCCAACTTCAAGGGCTGCACGGCCCTCCACTACGCCGTCCTGGCCGATGACTACCTGACGGTCAAGCTGCTGCTGGATGGAGGTGAGTTCCGTAGCTCCGACCCACTTTTGGGGTGGTGGGTCTGACCCACACAACGCTCAGGCTCAGGCAAGGACCACACTCTTCCATTCTTGGGGTTAGATGGGATTTATCGTTGACCTGTTCCTCTCTTACGTACCCATGCGATGTGGAATCAAGAGCCTCCACTTAACTGGGGATGGATCTGCTCAGTAGGCAAGGAACTGGGGAGATGATGGTCCCCACCTTGAGACTCGGCTTCTTGGCGTTGCAAGACTCCTGGGGGAATTGGGAGAAAGGAGCTCGGGTGGTTATTGGTCCTCCTGGATAGATCCCGGAGCCCTTCTTCTCCTGGATCCTGCTCTACTGGTGTCTCTTTGGAGCTCCTGGTGCTAAATTACAGACCCGTAGAGATATCTATGGATGGACAAGAATTTTTCACAGAAAGAGTGGTCAGAGACTGGAACAGGCTGCCCAGGGAGGTGGTTGAGTCACCATCCCTGGACGTGTTTAAGAGTTGTTTAGATGTGGTGTTGGGGGATATGGTGTAGGGGAGAACTTTGTAGAGCGGGGTTGATGGTTGGACTTGATGATCCCAAGGGTCTCTTCCAACCGGAATGATTCTATGATTCTGTGACACCTGGGAGTCCTGGTGGACAACAGGATGCCCAGGAGCCAGCAACGTGCTCTGGTGGCCAAGAAGGCAAATGGTCTCTTGAGGGCCATCATGAAGAGCGTGGCCACCAAGTGGAGGGAGGTCATCCTGCCCCTCTGCTCTGCCCTGGGGAGGCCCCAGCTGGAGCACTGGGACCAGTTCTGGGCTCCCCAGTTCCAGAAGGACAGGGAACTGCTGGAGAGGGGACAGCAGAGGCTGTGAGGATGATGAGGGGCCTGGAGCATCTCTCTGCTGAGGAAAGGCTGAGGGACTTGGGTCTTTTTAGTCTGGAGAAGAGAAGGCTGAGGGGGGATCTGATCAACACCTCTAAATCCTTCAAGGGTGGGTGTCAGGAGGATGGGGCCAGGCTTTTTCCAGTGGTGCCCAGGGACAGGACAAGAGGAAATGGGCACAAACTTGAACATAAGAAGTTCCACCTAAACATGAGGAGGAACTTCTCCACTGTGAGGGTGGCAGAGCCCTGGCAGAGTCTGCCCAGGGAGGTGGTGGAGTCTCCTTCTCTGGAGACATTCAAACCCCACCTGGACACGTTCCTGTGGGACCTGCTGTGGGTGGCCCTGCTCTGGCAGGGGGTGGGACTGGATGATCTCCAGAGGTCCCTGCCAACCCCATGTGATTCTGTGATTCTGTGATCTGAAGGATCTCTTCCAACGTTCTCTGGTACTAAAAAGACTAAAATTCATGGGGTTTATAGCATCCTTTGGGTTGGAAGAGACATCAGGAGGTCTCTAGTCCAACCCTCCTGTTCAAAGCAGGGTGAGGTGTGAGGCCAAACCAGGCTTGAGTCACCAACTCAAACTGGGCTTTGTCCAGCAAAAACCACCAAGGATGGACGTTGCCCAACCTCTCTGGGCAACCTATTGTGATGGTTGAGTGTCTTAATGAGGAAAAAGCTCATCAACACCAGTGGAGGTAAAGAAGAAGATGCATTTAGCTGACAGAATAAGGATGTGCTGCCATGGCAACAGGGGTTTTTTTTATATTTACCCTCTTTATTGGGATGACATTTGTGTCCCTGTTCTGCTCTTACCCAGAACCTGGGTCTGTGGAACCTCTGTCTCCATCTGATGGTGCTGTGAAATCAGCTGCATCTGCCCAGGGTGCAAGATGTTCTCCAGACCCCAGAGTGGGTCAGGGGAGTTCTCCTTCCCCCCAGATTTCATAGAATCATGGGATGGTGGAGGTTGGAAGGGACCTTCCAGGTCATGGAGGCCAACCATCAACCCACCACTGACAAACCCACCACTGACCCATGTCCCTCAGCACCACCTCTGCCCGGCACCGAAATCCCTCCAGGGATGGGGACTCCACCACTGCCCTGGGCAGCCTCTGCCAAGGCTTCACAACCCTTTCCAGGAAGAAATTCTTCCCAAGCTCCATCCTCAACCTCCCCTGGGGCAACTTGAGGCCGTTTCCTCTTGTCCCATGGCCTGTTCCTTGGGAGAAGAGACCGACCCCCCCTGGCTACACCCTCCTTTCAGGGAGTTGGAGAGAGGTGGAGTTGGTCTCTTCATAGAATTATGGAATCACAGGAATGGTTTGGGTGGGAAGGGACCTTAAAGCCCATCCAGTTCCATCCAGGGACACCTCCCACCAGAGCAGGTTGCTCCAAACCTCCTCCACCCTGGCCTTGAACCCCTCCAGGGATGGGGCAGCCACAGCTGCTCGGGGCAACCTGGGCCAGGGTCTCAATGCATCCATCCATCCATCCTTCCATCTCCATCCATCCATCCATCCATCCATCTCCATCCATCCATCCATCTCCTCATCCATCCATCTCCTCATCCATCCATCCATCCATCCATCCATCTCCATCCATCCATCTTGTCATCCATCCATCCATCCTTCCATTTCTTCCCCACATCTCATCTCCATCTCCCCTCTTTCAGGGTCAAACCCTTCCCCCTCCTCTTAGGGCTCCCCTCCTTCATCAAGAGTCCCCTCCCCATGTCCCTCTCACTCCTCCCATGACCATTCCAGCTCCTCTCCTCCCTCTGGAGCCACCCTTGACACCTCTGAAGGAACCAAAAAGCCGAGATGCTGTTCCTTCTCTTTCGAGCACTCCCCAGCCGCCCGCTGCCGAGGGCTGATTCCTTAAGAAAACAGCCATAAAAAAATAAATTACAAAAAAGATAACAGCGAGGAGCATCCGCCGAGGCCAAACATCCCCAGAAGAGAGGGAAGAAAATAATTGTAGGTTCAAAACTGCTGAACCCTGATTGTCATCTCCGCCGTCCGCTCGTTATCTGCCGCGGAGAGGAAGGACCAGGAGGGCGAGGTTGAGATCCCTCTACGAGCTCCTGGGTCAGGGCTTCTCTCCAGGAGAACGGGGCCATAAATTAACCCCCAAAAAGGAGAGAAATGAGGAAAATATAAAAAAGAAAACCTATTGGAAATGGTTTTTGGGCAGGGATGCTGATGGAGAAGGGGGTTCAAAAGGCAAAGGGGGGCTCTGGGGATGTGGGAGCGTGGGATGGGGGAGGTCCTCGGAGGAAAATATTGGCCCCTGTGGGGTCCAGAGGGTCTGAGGTGGAGAAGAGGAGGTTGAGAGGGGACATCATGGATGGTGAGGGACAGCTAAAGGGTGGGGGGCAAGAGGATGGGGCCAGACTCTTCCCAGTGGTGGCCGGGGAGAGGACAAGGGATGGAGAAAATAAGGAAAACTTTCTTGGAAGAGGCTGCCCAGAGAAGGTGTGGAGTCTCCTCCTCTGGAGATGCTCAAACCCCATCTCCAACCTGCTCTGGGTGACCCTGCTCTGGCCGGGGGTGGGACTGGGGGGGTCTCCAGAGGTCCCCACCAGGCTGGGATGGTGTGGAGGGCACTGGTGGTCAGGAGGAACCGCTCCGACAGCCCCTGGGAGAGCTCGGAGACATGGGCAGGGGTGGCTGGGGGAGGAGTGAGGTGGGATCCCACCTCCTGAGCCATGAGTTAGGGATGCACAGACCAGGAATGGCTCCTGTGGTGGGTGGAAGGGGCAGGAGAAGCTTCGTGGTGGGACAGAGCGAGGGGACGTGGGCCAAGTGTTGGCAGGGAAGAGTCCCCCTCACCTCAGGGTGGCTCTTGAGGGACCATCTTGAGACTTCAAGGATCTCAAGAGGGGTGTTCTGTCTCTAAAAAGCCCTAAAATGGAGTAGCCACGAGGGCAGAGGGACAGCCCAAGGCCACAGCACCCACAGGGACGTGGGGACGTTGTGGTCAGGAGAGAAGGTGATGGCAGATCTTCAGTCCCTGGAGTTTTCTCTGGGGAAAAGCCAGAATAACATTTTTTTCTGAAGACACCCACTTCCTCCCATCTTTGAAAGCCCCCTCTCAAGACCTGGGTGTTGTCACCCCACTGAAAGTGCCGTGGCCACCTCCTGGTTCTCCAGCCCATCCACAGCATCTGTCATGGTTCTGATGAGAATATGTGCCGTGGCCACCTCCTGGTTCTCCAGCCCATCCACAGCATCCACCTGCCCTTTGCTGTCATGGTTCTCATGAGGATATATCATATAATCATGGAATGGTGAAGGTTGGGAGGGACCTTCCAGACCATGGAGTCCAACCATCAACCCACCACTGACAAACCCACCACTGACCCATGTCCCTCAGCACCACCTCTGCCCGGCTCCGAAATCCCTCCAGGGATGGAGACTCCACCACTGCCCTGGGCAGCCTCTGCCAAGGCTTCACAACCCTTTCCAGGAAGAAATTCTTCCCAAGCTCCATCCTCAACCTCCCCTGGGGCAACTTGAGGCCGTTTCCTCTTGTCCCATGGCCTGTTCCTTGGGAGAAGAGACCGACCCCCCCCTGGCTACACCCTCTTTTCAGGGAGTTGGAGAGAGCCAGAAGGTCTCCCCTCAGCCTCCTTTTCTCCAGACTCAACACCCCCAGCTCCCTCAGAAGTTCTCCAGACCCTTCTCCTTGTGCTCCTCATCAGCTCCGTTGCCCTTCTCTGAACACTCTCCAGCCCCTCAAGGTCTTTCCAGTCGTGAGGGTCCCAAAACTGGACCCAGCCCTCGAGATGGGGCCACCCCAGTGCTTGGTCCGGGGGGGACCACCACTGTCCCAGTCCCACAAAACTGGACCCAGCCCTTGAGATGGGGCCACCCCAGTGCCCAGTCTGGTGGGACCATCACTGTCCCAGTCCCGCTGGCCACACTATGGCTGGTAGAGGCCAGGATGCTGGTGGCTTTTGGTGATTTACTCGTGAAATGGAAGGTGTCCCCCCTCTTTGTGGTGGCAGACCCTTCCTTGGCCTCTCTCTCCGTCCCTCCGTTGGGCTGGACACGAGGGTTTCACGGCATCGACCCGGGAGGGGGGTGGGGGTGTCCCCCTCCCACCCCGTGACAAATCTGGGGAATGGAG